TTCAGTCTATATTGCTGTATATATCCCTAATTATCGTTTGCGCAGTAGGTAGATTTATATTGCCTTCCATGGGTGTGGAATCTTACAATTTTTAGCAGAGTTGGCCACACCAAGCATTGTTGGAAAATACAGACACACATAGGGAAATTGGAGAGGAATGTCAGATATACTATGTTTTATATTCTCAATCAACTTTAAATTAAAATTCTCAATTGCTATTTTAAGTTCTAATGATTGAAGAGAGTAAAAGATTTTTTCAAATCTTCCAAAAAAAACAAAACAAATCTACAATACAGAAGATATAACAAAATAGCGTAATAACAACAGAACACCATATTTATATTTGTGGACTATTGCATCTACAAGTATAGGTAGTAATAAAGTGGAACACAATCACTATATGAGGGGTCTTCTATCTTCAAATCCCTGTTTTCATGTAGGTTAAAAAATAAATAACAGGCATAGTGCAAGACTGTCATATCATTTGAAACACCTTTAATAATATGTTACACTCACAAATGTTCACAGGGCAACCAAGCATATCAAAATAAGCTGTAAAGGATTCCTTTGTAGCAATCTCCTTAGGATAGTCCCAAATCAGTCTCTTAGAAGTGCTCCAGATGTCTTGAGACAATAATGAAATGAACTAAAATAAAAGGCAATATGCCCATATACCCTATGCGTTTCATTAATCTATGCGCGGACATCCTTACGGACATCAAATTATGTCGGCAATAGATAGGTTATGCCGTTTTGCCGTTTAAATGTCCCGCCTCCCTCGGATTGCTCTGAGCCAATCCGATAGGGAGCTTCATTCTTGTGCCCAGCTGTAACGAGTTCTCCTATGATCATGGATCCACGCCTTGTTGTGGATCCATGACGTATATCCACTTCCAGTCGCCATATTGTTCATCTCCTAGGTGTACCCGGAAGAGTTTATGCTCCATTTGCATTGACAGTATGATATGTATATGATTGCACTCACAGGATATAAAAAGCAGTAGAAGTATCCCGCAACCAAGCTTACATTCAGTATTTTTAACTATTTTGAGAAAATATTCCTTCTAATACATTCACATAAAAAGAAATACAAAGCATAGTGTGTACCTTTGTAGACAAAAAGCATTTAAGGACCACCATAGGCACCCAGACCACTTCAGCTCAATGAAGTGGTCTGGGTGCCACGTCCCCCTAGTTCAAACCCTGCAGCTGAAAACATAGCAGTTTCAGAGAAACTATATTTACATTGCAGGGTTCATCCAGCCTCTAGTGGCTGTCTCCCTGATAGCCACTAGAGGCCGCTTTCATGATTCTCAGTGTGAAAATCGCATTGAACTCACTCAGCGCGAGTTCAAATTCCCATAGGAAAGCATTGAGTAATGTAATGGACATTTAAATAGTTTTTTTTTTAGAGTTAATGCCCTACATTGCAGAATTAACCCCTTCCTGTCTGAGCCGTTTCCGAAATTCTGTTCAGTCTTCATTCTTGCGTTTTTTTAATAGTTGGTATGTGGTTAATCCACCATAATATAATGCGTTTTCTTTAGTGCACCCATACATGTTATATACTGCTTTTAATGAATAGAGACATATTCTGATATCCTATGTACATTCATAGCACAACCTTACATATGAATAAAATATTTTTCCAAAGAGAGAAAAAAAATATTTTGTTTTCTTGCAGTTTGCTTACAACTACACAACTATAGAGTAAGTTATTAATCTTGATTGCTAAAATGCCTTGTGTGTCCAGCAATTCTGTTATATTTTTGGTTTTTTTTGTTTTATTTTGTTTTTGTTATTTTTAGTTAAAAGACAAATACTGGAAGGAATGAATTATGACTTTAAAGCTGTATCTTTGCAAAGTGTATTTTGTTAGTTTGCTGAGACTACCATATTGAAAGCAGTCACATAATCAAAACAGGTACACAAAAATATATATATATAGAAATTAGAACCGCCTGAGTATTTTACTATGAACATTTTGAGAGTTTTCATGTAACCACTTAATGACTGAACTCTTAATTGTTTGGCTGAGCCACATTCTCTTGCCTCGAACACATCTATCGGAAACGTTAGGCCAAAATAGCTTATTAGAAAAACTTTAGATATAACCACAGCCTGACTATTTTAGTAATTGTAAATGTGGTCTTAATTTCAATATAATTCAGTGAATAAATATCCATTCAGATGCCCATATATGTTTATTTATTTAGCAATTTATTTATTTATAGTAAATGAGAAAGGGGGTAAAATGACAATTTGCTCTGGTTTCAAAAATGTATTAATTTAATTTTCATGTTCATTTTCGCAAATGCCTTTTTTCCCATGCGCCGTATTGAATTATCTGTTATATGTATAAAACTGGAAGAAAGCTTTAACAGCTATGTCAAATGTATCTAAATGTATCTCCCACTGGGAAACAAGTAGAAAAGTATTATTTCATTGGTAGTTAACTCCCAAATGACTACGCCACATATAACCAACGACAGCAAGCGAATGTTGGAGATGCCAGGCTGAAGAGTCTGTAACTGTTGGAAATTAAAGAAACAATGGTCAAATATTCAAGACATTTTGCAGAAGTGGCTTAACACTAACTTACTACTTCTACTCCAAGGATACCTCCTAGATATACTATTAGACTCTCTGCTGCAGGTACGAAAATATGTGTCCTTACAGCAGCCAAAAAAATAATATTGCAAAACATTGGAAATCAGTTAAGAGTCTATAAGTTTCCTTAGTCATTAGTGCACTAAAATCAACAAAACTTTATGAAGCTATCCTGGACATGTATATTAAATCAACTCAAATATCAGTACACTATGGAAAAGGGTATATATTATGAGAAGAACAAATTGTATGACAAATGAGGGCAACCTTGGCTGGGCACCCTGATTACAAAGTGAAATTCTGCCACGTAAAGCCCTATTAAAGTTGTCTAATACAGAATAAAATTAATACGTTTGGTTTAATGTCTTAAAATAATATACAACAGCTAATGGACTACTCCCACATTTCAGAATTCTAGTTTTTGTATTTCCCTTATTTTCTAAACAACATTCCAAGCTGACCAGTGACCCGTTCTGCTTGTTTATGTTTTGAGTTGGTCCCAAGGACCCTATAGAGCCAGGAAAATGAGAATGTTTTCCTGGCACTATAGTGGTCCTTTAATTTTAATATAACATGTGAATTAGATTCCAAGATCACTATATGATATCAAATGTCAATTAATGCAATGTCTGTATTTTTGTAAAAATGAAGATATAAAAAGTCATAAATAAAATAAAAAATTTTTAAAACAAACTTTATGAAGAGATGATACACAGGGACCTAGGGTCCATAAAGACATTGCAAAACATGGGAAGAACACTACAATAATTAGCCTGGAACACTATGCGTGGCCAGGGCAGATTCCCCCTTTCATCCTCCACCCACTTATCTCCCTTTCTTTCCTTCTTTTTTTTCCTTTTCTTTAGCTTTGTTTTTCCAACATCTCACATAATGTGGTTTACTCAAAAGAGAAATTATCAAAGAATATGTACATATTGTACCTCCAAGATAACAATGAAACATTGTTATACCATTGATCTGATGTTACATTACAAATTAAAGATTGTCCTAAAAAAGATGTGATGTGATAATAATTTATTTTTCTCTATTGTTAAAATTCTATTGAAATACAATGTAACCTTGTTTTTACACATACCTCTTTTTGAAACAATGTATGTAAAAAAATTAAAAATCTTCACTAAAAATTATACATTAAAACAAAAAATATTTGGCTTTAGAGTTGTTCCAGTACATGAGGACGTTCTATAACAGTGGTAGGCACTGTTCAACACTCCAGGTGTTGACAGATGCATTGCCAGCATTACAACTTGGAGCCAACTCACATAGTAGATACCTCACATTCCCATGTATACCTAATTGGATAGAGGGAACAGTTGGGGTTCCTCATAATACCTAATAGTTTTTATCATAAAAGCATATTTCAGTCCACAAGGGGTATGGAACTAGGAAGTGAAAGAGAAGGTTCTCCTTAATTGGCAGAGGTCTAAGGACCATCATCTCTTTTAGGAAATAAAAAGGCATCTTCTTTTTTTAACTACTTGCATGCTAAAAGCAAAGCACTTCTAGTGATCATTTTTCTTACAGAATTTTTGTGCTGATTTTTTGGCTACTTCTTGCTCCTTGACTATTTACTGTTCAATTCAATATTTGGCAGCCAGTCATCAGCAATATAACCTTAAATGGACACTCCTTTTCCCAAATAAAAAGAAAATCACTGTTTAGTAGTACCCCCAGTGAAAACATTAAAGGAACACTATAAGGTTAGGAACACAAACATGTATTCCTTACCCTATAGTGTTAAAAAAAAACATCAAGCCCCCCTGCCACCTCTTACTGTCTTAAATATAGTAAAATCTTACTTGTATAAGCCTGCAGCTGCTTGTTCTGCCCCTGTCTGCTTCTGAACTGCCTGCTGTCTGCTGAAGTAGTGGTCTGAGCCAATCACAATGCTTCTCCATAGGATTGGCTGAGACTGTCATGCAGGCAGATCAGGGGCAGAGCCAGCATGATTCAAACACAGCCCTGGCCAATCAGCATCTCCTCATAGAGATGAATTGAATCAATATATATGATCTAAGTATATATGATCACATACACATACATACACATACACTGTCTAAGTGTATTTTAATATTAATATATATAATTATATATACACCAAAAATATAAACGCAAAGGCTGCACTCACGGACTTTAACCACGAAAATTCTTTATTCCATCAAGCAAATGGAAGCAAGTCATTGACACAATTTTATTTCACTTTATTTGTTTTCACTTTATTTTTAATTTACTTCACATGTTAGCACTATGCATGCATTAGCACTTTCTCTTTTAAAAATCCTAAAATTGCATAAGAGGTCTATACCCAATATTCATAAATTATATGCACTTTAAAACATATAGTAAAAACCAAAGAAAAAAAAAAAGTTACCTGTGCTCTTTCCACATCCCTATGTATTTTTAAACAAATTGAGGTTTTTAAAAATACATAGGGATGAGGGAAGAGCGCAGGTAACAGGCTGCCACCCAGGAGTAATGGGAGTTTGAGCGCAGGACTAGTTTCTTTGTATTTAAAACATATGCACTTTACAATTTATGAGAAAATTGTTGTAACTAATAGCACGCCATATATTTCCAACGATTGAGTAATGGAGTATCACTAAACTTAATTTTCATTAATATGTCTTTAAATTTATCAATATTAATGCTAAGGACAGAAGTTTGATAATATTTACTAGCACAGCCTGCTCTATTGTGGTTTTTATTTTATTTTTCAATTGTTTTCATTTTTTTCTTTCTACACCCCTTTCACATTCTATTGGGTTATTCACTATCCGACTTCCGTTTCTATCTTTGATCCCAGGCGGTTACCATGGTGATGTTGGCCACGTTGCTGTGGTTATGGTGCACAGTGACGTCAGCACGCATGGACTGCGGGTCAATGTGTGGGCGCGGTGTCTTCGCACATGCACAGTGAGACGTGGGGAACGCCGGTGATTATGTTTAACACCTGGGGTAAGTCACTTCTCTATAATTAATACAGGTATATATTTGGTTCATTTTAATGTTGTGGTTATGTCACTTGATCCTGAGGAAGGTCCCTGTGTGGACCGAAACGTCGATCTTTTTGCTTGACGGAATAAAGAATTTTCGTGGTTAAAGATTAACAATAAATATTAATGATACTTTGACCAGTGTTTGTGAATAAGTGGCTACTAAAAAAGACTGGACATACCCCATTTGCAATACATTGGCACCCCAGCATAAAAGGGGTTAAAAGCCGTTTATGAGATATTCCCTTCCAGATATAGAGGCAGCTACTGTAGACACCAATCCACCGAACCGGAGAAGCATACGAATGCTGTAAACAGTCGAATAGGAAAAACCATACGAAAGGTTTACACTCCTAGCAGTCGAACTGGAACAGCATACAATAAATCCACCCCCCTGCCCCCCAAGAACGAGACAAAGCTCCGTGTTGGGGGTCAAGCAGGAACAGACAGAGCTGTGGGTTTATTGTTCTTATATACACATTCTTACACATTAGTACCACCCACAGGGTTTTGTAAAACAACCAATAAACACGTACAATACACTCAGACACTCCCACACAAATTCCTCCCCTCTGCCTGTGATACAATTACCTTACACATTGGGTTAATGTAATTATTACAGGCAGAGAAATACATTTTTTCCACATTATTCATAACTTTAAAGAAATGCATCACATTCACATAACTTACATTTTCAGAATCAGCATACTCTAAATACAAACATACGTCAAACTCATACAAATTGGTCCAGTGGGTCAAAAGTTAGATCGAAATCCTTTGTGACCAAATGAAGCATGGCTTTTCTGCCCAAAACCAGTTCCACAGAGTCTTCTATCCTGGAGATAATTGGGAAGTAATCCAATTATCTCCAAGGACAGAAGGCAAAACTCCATTAGCCACATGGTAGCAAAAGACAATAAAATACATAAAAATATATAACTGTGCAGCTATTGCATAAAACAGGTACATTCAACATATCCCCAGATAGCTTAGATCTGAGCGCACATTATTACTGAATGGCGCTCAGATCACATACATACAGTTCAATTGCCATGGAGCCAAAGTCTTTCACACAGTCTTTCTTTATACGAATGGGTTGCATGGCATAGCTATCTGGGGTATCACTGTTCAAATAGGGCAAGTACCGAATGACCAGGCTTTCATGTCTTTGCAGTGGAAAATCAAGCACTTCAACATGGGGCCATAGTCTAAAGGCAGCAGGCGGGCAACCAGGCTCCTCCAATGCACAGTGGCGAGATTGGTCTCGTCACAATTGGGTTGTGTACTATTGCAAATGCAGAACTAAAAACCCATTTGTTTATATTTTATTTATATTAAATTATGTTTCATAGCTAAATATTTGATGTTAAATGAAAGCCCTGTTTCTCCTGAATAAAATTATATATAATAAGTGTGGGTGCATTTAATATGAAAGAGGTGAATTACGGTTAAACAGACATATAGTCAAATTCCAAGTTTTGTTTACGTTTTATTTTGATCAAAACGTTTACATTTGGCTCAGTCCTTAAGGGGTTAATTTGTTTTTGTTTTTTCTTCTTTGATTTATGTAAAAAAAAACAGCTTGCAAACAGGCCTCTTGTCTAAAGCTTTGGCAAGCCTTCCCTTCTTCCCCATCCCAGACTTTCTCTGGCTGTCCAATCATAGACATCCCAATGCAGTTCAGTGAAAAGTCTTTGCAAGGCAGGTGCTCTGGGCAATTGTTGGCCTCTTGAGAGCCGGGGGTATAATAAGGTTAATTAATAAAAGTGGCAATTTCTATTTAAATCTGCACTTTTTGTAAAATGAAAAAAGAAGACACACTCTTCCCACATTTGCATTTCCACAAGCTTAAATGCTTTCTGTGCATTCAGTGGTTCTTTAAAGGTTTGTTCAGGATGGTTCCATCTGAGCTTCAAGGAGCATGAGTATGGACTTGTTCCAAACACCTGTTTTAAGTAAATGCTCCATAAAACCGTTTTTTTTAATTGACTTTTGTTTACAGATCTGTTTAAAATTCAGATTTTAGAGAATATAGTATATTTGTTTGTTTTTTTCCTTTCTTACGTGGATTTCCTATATGGTGTTCTGTTAAATATTCAGACCAGAATTTCTATAAAGTACAGATTAAAGAACAGTGCGCACACAAAAAATGACTGTTTTAAATCTTATTATTATTATTATTTTATTTATTATTTTATTATTTATATAGCGCCATCAGATTCCATAGCACTGTACAATGGGTGGACTAACAGACATGTAATTGTAACCAGACAACTGGACGTACAGGAACAGAGAGGTGAGCTTACATACTAGAGGGAGTGGGGTAAAGTGACACAAAGGGTAAAAGTAGGGATACGAAGTAGGTTGCTAGAAAAGTATTCACTGAGGGCTTTGTAGGTAATTTTTGACAGTTGCAGGAGAGGAATCATGGGGTGGGGATAAAAACCTGCTAACAGTTTAATTGATATGCTTTCTTGAAGAAGTGAGTTTGGGTGAAAACTGGGTGAAAGTCCTACAGAGAAGGGAAGGGACTCCCACAGAAGAGGTGCAGCCCTGGAGAAATCTTGAAGGCGAGCATTAGAGGTGGGAGTACGGACAGAGGTGATACATAGGTCTTTGGCAGAGCGTAGGAGCCTCGACAGGACATACTTTATTAGGGAGGACAGGTAGGTTGGAGCAGCATTATGTAGGGACTTGTAAGCAAGCACCAGAATTTTAAATTGAGCATTATATCTAACTGGAAGCCAATGCAGGGACTGACAGAGCGGGGAGGCGTGGGAGGTGCGAGCGGACAGGAAAATGAGCCCCTCCGCTGCATTCATTATAGTTTGCAGCGGTGCAATCTGGGAACAAGGTTACTTAAAATTACCTATGTGTGCAAACAAATTTGGAGATTGAGTTACACCATATTGTGTTAAGCCCAGCACTACGTCACAGTATCCCAATATCAGTGGGTCCGGCACTAATTTAAACATGGGAGTATCTGCAATACTTACTGCTTCCAGAGACTTTCCTCCAATTTATGCTTTCCACTGGTCACCTCCAAATGGGCACCTGGAGTGGAGGGGCAGTGTGCTCAACCCAAAAGGAATCTCATCTGAATTACATACATACAAAGGAAAAAGGTGGTTTGGAGTCATACCTACAACATGCATTTACCATAAGTGGTACTCCTGTCAAGACCAAAATAAATGAAGAGAAAAATGCACACACACAAAAGAATCAAAAGAAAATATAGTTTTATATCTACTTAAAATCACCTATCAATCACCCAAACAAACATGTGGATTAAGTTGCACCATACGGCCATACCATGTAAAACCTACCCCAATATCAGTCGGTCCAACTCCAACGCTAATGTAAAGGGACACTCTAAGCACCAATATTACATTAGTACATTTTGTAAATGTTTTACCTCATATTATACTGTATTGTTTTTATCAAGAGGCTCAAATCTTTATAGTATTTTCATAAGAAAACTAAATGTTTTGTAGCATGCTGCACCTTAAGACGGCCTCTTAATCCACACCCCCTCACTCCAGAAAAATACTTCCTTATCAAATGTATGCACACAGTTCAGTTATTGAGAGTACTGAATGATCTGAGCTACAACTTGCATTAGAAGGAGAAAACACACAGAAAGACATATAGTAAGGTTCCCTGACTGTCGGTAGCCAGGTTGTGGTTTAAAATATACTAACTCAGTGTTGTTGAGGCTGAGACTGTGTGTATTTATTTGATAAGGAAGTCATTCTGTCATAAGAAGATATGGCTAAGGTGCAAGCTTATGATGCAGTATTCTGCAAAACATTTTTTTTTGTGTGCAAAAACAATAAAGATTTGAGCATGCAAAGTAAAACAGCATATTAATGAGGCCAAAATTTTATCAAATGCGTCAAAGTTTTATTGGTGCTCGGAGGGCCACTTTAAACATGCAGGATGAACAGGCTGACTGCAGTTCATGCTGCTTAAAGGAAACTATAGTGCCAAAGTTTTTTTCCTGACAACATAGCTCCCTATAGTGCCCTCTTCACTGTCACGCCCCTCCCCCCCATGGTGCAGAATGGGTTAAAAAGCCCTTCTGTCACTTACCTGATTCCAACACTGATGCCCCTTGGCGCTGGTTCAGGCTCTGCCTCCGCTCCTCCGCGCTTGCACTAGTACTTCCCACATAAGAAAGCATGTATAATGCTTTCTATGGGGTTATACATGACGCCAGACATCCTCGTGCATTATGTGAGGATGTCCAGCATCACTTGGGCAACCAAAAGTCATCTAACAACCCAAAAGTCCCTCTCGTGACTGTCTGGTAGACAACCACTAGAGGTAGTGTTAACCCTCAAAGGTAATTATTACAATTTCTTAAAAAGGGACCTAGGGCACTGCACGCGGACCACTGAAATGACCTGAAGTGGTCTGGGTTCCTATGGTGTCACTTTAAGCATTCATCTCACATGT